TAAGCCACATTAAAGAAGGAATGCTACAAGCTACATTAAAGATGTCTCCAGATCAACTGAATGACTGTTCATATAGAAATCATGGAAAATCGTCTCATTCAACAACCTCCCCTATAGTTCGTTGCGATCGTGAATTAAGCAAAAATTATGTACTAAATTTTGTTTTCACAATGAAATTTCTTCTATAAAAACATTTGAAATGTTTCAAAAGGCTTTTAAAGATGACTGTTTAATGAAACTTACAGTATGAAAATGTTCAAATGTGGTTGAAAATTCATTGAGGTTGACCAGTAATCTGGCAAGTCATTCGCTTCGTTTAATGATCAACATATCCATCAAGTCAGAGAATCTGTGATAGTCGTTTGACAATAGGGGGCATTATTGAAAAAGATCCTACATGATTTGATTCCTGTAAAGCAATTTTAAAGGAACATTTATGCATTTAGAGTTGTTCTAAGAAATTTGAATTTATTCCAATAATTACAAAGTGTTCAAGTACAAAGTGTGCTTTTACAAGACGATTCCTTTCAAAAAACACATTATTACTCGCAATGAAACTTAGATCTATGTTTTTGATGGAGAAATAGCTCAACATTTAAGTAAATAGTGATTGAAAAGTGAAGTAAAATAGAAAAAACTCAGTCAAAGTCGGTTAAAAATCAGGATAATATTGACAATTTTCTTTGATTCCGATTGGCAGGACAGTCAATAAAGATTATCACTTAAGTGGTTTGATGCATTTTCATGTTACATCGAAAATGATCTGAAATGTGGCAAGAAAACTTATTGGTTTTTTATCATGATAAAGCGCTTTCAATTATTATTCTTATTTTATTTTATTTTAAAACCGTCATTGAACAGCCGACCCAATTTTTGTGTTTACGATTACTAATGTTCAACTCCATACCCTTGTAATTTTAAACCCAATCCGGAAGACAAGGGAACAATTACATCAAGTATTGGGAGAAATTTGTTTTCTCAGAGGATTTTTCTCGCATTTGCATTACATGGAGAGGAAAACCACGAAAACCTCCCACAGTTAGCCTAACGGCAAGGAGACTCTAACCCATAATCCGTCTACCACTGAAGATATTTTACGTCAGCACTGTAGTCGGTGCGAGAATTCGGAATTTGTATCTACCAGCTATTGCTGGGATTTGAACCCAGTTCACCTCATTGGAAGGCGAATGCTCTAGCCCCTGAGTCACCACGGCTCGCATTTATTATTCGTCAATTCTCGTCAAAATCTTTAAAAAATACGACGTCATAAATACCAAATTCTCCAGGCGTGACTCCGTGTGACATTTTCTTACTGCCAAAAGTTCGCTATGAATTCTGAATGACATTTACAAAGACTGTTTTAAGGCATGTTTTGGTAATTGAAAAAATCATCGGCAAAAGTGCAATGAAGTAGAAGAAGAGTATTTTGAAAGGATTGAAATACATCTTGACGTACACCATTCTGAGTCCTCTTTGACCACAGTAGTATATATTAAAGTTGAATTTTCAAATACATAATAAAATAATTTCATGTTGGTTCTGAATTAGCAAAGAGTAAGCTTAAGCCGCTCCAACATAAAAGGAAACAAAATGCACCTAGACTTACAAATTGTTACCTTTTGTTTTAAGCCATCATTCTGAGTACTCTTTGACAACAGCAGTATATGTAAAAATTGAATTTTAAAATACATAATAAAATAATTTTATGTTAGATCTGAATTAGCAAAGAGTGAGCTCAAGCAGCTCCAGCATATAAGGAAACAAAATGCATCTAGACTATAGCAAATTGGTACCTTTTGCTTTAAGCCACCATTTTGAGCACGTTAGTGTCGTATTACTATGTTTAAATAATGAAATCTTTATTTTACATCTTGTTACTCAATTTGATTAATGGTGAATGATTTCGATGTTTAATCCATCAGACAATTTGCGGATTTTTTTAAATATCTTTTGTACAATAAGACTTCTTTGAATTTGATTTCATGAGAAAAAAATAGGCCTGATAATTTCAAATATAATCCATATACGCTAAAAAATCTATATTAATAAAATTCTTTTTAATTTTAAACTCAAGAACAAAATCATTTCTAGCGCTACCTTTAATGAAAATATGTGATGAAAAGGTTAAAAAAAACTTGTGACTATTATTATTTAGGATTTAAACTTGAAATTGTTACCTAAAATTTTCGTTCCAAATGCAAGCAACTAAATTGTATGTAAACTGATTACTTCATATCGTCTGGAGGAAAATTTTAAAATTTAATGAGATTTTTTTTGTTTTGTTTTTTGAACCACATAATTCGTTATAAATTGGAGTCATGTGAACAAATGTGTGACAAGCGGTTGTGATCATATCCAACCCCTGTTTTTTTTTTTCTTTCTTCTCAGATATTTTTTTTCAATTCTTCTTCATATTTTAAGTTAATTTTTCTTACACTTTCTTTTTACTTTTTTGTATTTAGAAATTTAAATGATTACGAATATTTAAAAACATTAAAAAAGTTCTTAATTTTTTTTTTCATATTTATTATTATTATTATTTTAAGAATGCAGTTTAACCTTGAGTACCCCCATGCAGCATAATACGTAAATTAAACGTAAATTTTTGGGATATCGGTAAAGTCAAGACGCATTTTAAGTAAATTTTACGTAATATTGACGGAATGATATTACCATTGAGATTTTCATTTGGCGAAAAAGCTTTGGTATATTTTACGTATTACTAATGGAATGGATTTTACCAACTACCCTTCGATGTGATTGCTTTTGCATATTTTAAGAAAGATTGACGAGAGAATATTTACTATTTAGATTTAGTAAAAATGATTCTGTGTACTTTCCTTATTATTGACGAATCTAATTTACCATTTAAATTCCGGATCGAATTATTTACACAAATTTTCTGTTTTTTGGACAACCATTTTTTTTCTATAATTTGACGTTTCTACTTTCGTACATTTTGACGTACCACTGATGTAAAGAATATGCAAAAATTACGTACTCATTCTTGACGAGTAAAAAATGGGTGATAAAATATTAAATATTAACTTAAACTAAACAGATTTGTTTACTTAAAATTTTATGTAGATTTTCCGTTTTTTGGATAACAATTTTTGCTATTATTCGACGTTTCAACTTACGTAAATTTTAACGTATTGTTGAAGTAAAAATTATATAAAAATAAAATACTCATTCTTACCTAGTAAAAAGTGGTTTTTAAAATATTCGTAAAAGAAACGAATTTGTTTACGTAAAAGTTTACATAAATTTTAGGTAAATATTCTTAAAATAAACAATCGTAAATTTTACGTAAATTTTACACAAATTTATCATTTAAATTTTGGTTCGAATTATTAACGCAAATTTTAAGATTACCACTTTTTTCTTCAATTTAACGTTTCAAATTACGTACATTTTGACGTACCATTGACGTAAATAAAATGTACAAAATTACATACTCATTCTTGCCTAGTAAAAAGTGGTTGGTAAAATATTTTTTAAATAAACAAATTTATTTACGTAAAATTTTACCTAAACTTTACGATTTTTGGCTAACCATGTCTTGCTGTAATTCGACGTTTACTTTTACGCAAATTTTAAGAATGTTTAGTTAAATTTAAAGCTGAAATATTTGTATTTTTGACGTAAAATTGAAGGTTCTCTGTGTTGTTTACTTCTGTTAAGACTTGCTAAAATTCTTAACTGCACATAAATTTCCATGACTATCTTTCAATCAATGTAGCCCTTACTTGTGCTCTATTCATGTTGTTTTGCTTTATTAATATCTTGAAATAGTTTTAAAATAAGTCACTAAGAAATTCCCTAAATGCTTGTTTCATGGATGATAAAGGCATTTTCTAACAACGGCTCCGGAGTCGGTAACTTCATTAATTTTTGTCCGACTTAATAAAAATTTAACAATCTATACAAAGTGTTCCATTATCACCACTTTTAATGTGTATTTTTAGAATCCTTACCAAAATTATAGTTAAAAGTAGTCATCAGATGTCACAAATAAAATTTAAGTGAGAAAAAAAATGAAAACGTCATTGAAATCTGAAGAATCATAATTAGAGAAGATGGGAATGAAAAACCATATCCATTGACTGTTGAAACTTGGAGGCGTTTCTAACAATCAACTGTCAGCAATTCTATGACAATCAAAAAGGTTCTGATATTTTTCATTCCTTTATTGTGATAACCCATATTTTAATAGTGTTTTTGCTTTTCTGTGTTTTAATATAACTTTGCCACCCTTAATGAGTACATTTTTTACTTCTTTTTCGACAAGGAATCTAAATTTATACATTAAGGAGGATCGTTACGAAACACCCTGTATAAAAAAATTTTTTTTTTTTAATTTTTATTGAATTTTTTTTTTTTTGGATGGAAAATGCGCATCATGCAAAATACATGGTACATATTTTTTCTAAATGTGCAGTTTTTTAGAGCAATGGTCACAAAAGTGAACAGTATTAAGTTAAAAAAAATAAATACTTAACATTGTTATTCCCCATTCGAACCTCAGCTTATCTTTTGAATGGGTTTTACGCTATATCAACATTTTGTATGAAATTAATTAAAACGGAAATTAATAAATAATCAACATTAGTTTAAGTTCCGCGAAGTTTAAGTTTTGCTTCGGATAAAGAAGAGTTTTTATTTAATTTCTTAAGTAATAAGTTGTGATGAATGCCTACTTAATTATTTATTTCTGCTATTAGATGTACTTATTTACATCTAGATTTTAGTTTTACATTTCACTACTAATCAAAAGAAAATTTTATTTTTGTTTTTATTTCTTCAAAGTATTGACGGTTAAAATAAAAGAAACATATGAAGCCGATGCAAAAATGAATGATCAAACTCCAAATATTAAAATCATCTCTTTGCATGCTTTTCCGGCAAAGCAGCTCTGCTACCTCGAGACCCGGTTGGAGCCAATGATGAAGCCCTTCATGTGAACCAATAGAATGCTCGCTTTTCTATCACGTGGGGATCTACAGGAGAAGATGAAGGATTCAGAATGCAATGGGAGGATTTCCAATTAAGTGTTCGGTATAAAAAGATTCCAAAATATGTGTTTTTAAAAGTCCTTGTGATGTTTATTAATAAATAAAACAAGTGAAGGAAACATAAACGAAACGAGTGTCACTTCACAATGTGGTCTATTTTATGGAATTCTTTAAATGTCGTTTAATTGTTATTACTTTTTTTAGAAACATGTTGAAATACACCTTCTTTGAAAAACAAAATCATCTGAGCGAAAGGGAAATGTCATTAAATTTTATAGAATAAAGATGATAAAATATAAAGAGGCCAAATGAGAAAGAAAGATGAGGACGGATATGTGAATCCATATTTTGAAATGATGCTGTGGAATCCATTTTGTAGAAGGATCGAAATTTATTATTTAGATACAAGTGTAGTAACACTATCAAATGGTAAGTCAATTAATTATTTCATTGATACTTACTGATTGTTCATTATGAATCTCATTGTATCAAAAATATTTTTCGTGTTACTCTTCGATAATTTTTTTTTATCTCATCTCAGTACTATTTTAAAAGCCTAAAGTATTTCACGATTAAACAAATGTACTCAACTATTTATTTGTTAAATACATGTGCATTAGGAATGATATGAATTTTCAACATAATAGCTGATAAGTTAATTCCTTTGTTTTCTTTGAAGGGCTTGAAAATATATATATTTTTAATTTTCTGATCATGTATGTTTTAAAAGATTGCATGATTCTGATAAATTTACTTAATAACCAGATTGTTAAGGAATGCACAAACGTTGCAAATTATATGAATTTCAAACACAATAACTACTTGAAACTAAGTTGATTCATTTGTTTCCAGATTCTTAAAGAAATTTAAAATATTTTATTTTTTGCATTAAATTTCCTGTTCATATATTTTAAAGGATTTTAAAAGATTCTTCGATTTTGATCAATTTACTTCATAACCAATTTGTTAAAGAATGCAAAAACATCGTGAGTTAAAGGAGCTTCAAACATAATAGCTGCTTGAAAATAAGTTGATTCATTTGTTTTCCAGATTATTCAAATAATTTTAACATATTATTTCTTTAAATTCCCTGATCATGTATTTTAAAAGGTTTAAAAAGATTCCATGATTTTGATTGAGTTACTCAATGCCAATTTGTTAAAGAATACACAAGCATTGTGAATGATATATACTTCAAACCTAATAGCTGCGTGAAACTAAGTTGTTGATTAATTTGTTTTCCAGTTTTAAATATTTATTTCAATAAAATTTTAAAATATTTTTTCCTTAAATTTTATGAACATGTATTTTAATGAATTTTAAAAGATTCAATGATTTCGATAAATTTACTTTGTGTTTAATGTTTATTTAGTGCTGAGTGTGTAGAAAATTTGTTAAAGAATGCACAAACTTTGTGAATGATATAAATTTCAAACATAATAGCTGCTTGAAACAAGGTTGATCCATTTTTTCCCTATCTCTTTAAAAAAAAATTTAAAATATTTTGCATAAAATTTCCGGATTATTATTCTTTATTAATTTAAAAATATTACATATTTTGTTAAATTAAGTAAGTAACAAATTTGTTAAATATTGTACAGACACTGTAGATAATATGAATTTTAAGCATCATGGCTAACTGGAAGTAATTTAATTTCTTTATTCGTAAATCAATTAAAAAATATTTTTTCATTAAATTTCTTGATTATAATATTTCAATGACTTTAAAATATTCCATAATTTTGATAAAATTCTTTCATAATTTTTTTTTAATTCACAAACACAGTGTATGATATTAATTAGATATTAATAAAACAGAAATATATTATAATAATAAAATAGAGTAAATACCACTAGTGGTTTATGTTTAAGGAAAGGACTTATCATTAACGTTTTAAACACCAAATTGTATTATAATTTTTGTAAAATATTACCCCCTCTAAATAGCGCTATTTTATAACTACTTGTATTTGAATCTTTACGAAAATCGCTGAAAAATATTTCCTAAATTCAAATGCCTGATTGATAGAAATTATTTCTGTTATGATATAATGTAGAAACGTCGTGATTTATGGTGAAAGAAAATTGGAAAAATATGTTTAAGCAATCTTAATGTAATTTTTAAATGTAAAATGACGTATGTTTTGTAAGTAAAAAATATAAAATAAAATTAATTTATTTTATGTTATTAACAATGACTGAAAACAATCTATTATTATTTTTAGTTTTTTTCTTTTTTTTTAAAAAAAAACTTAACAAAAGCAACCAATCACATTTACCTCCCCATGTTTCTGTTATGCTTAAAGAAAATCACACACATATTTATATACAGGTGTTGGACAAAATTATAGAAACATTTCTACACAAATTTATTTTTAATATTTCTCAAGAAACGCTTAGAGAATTATTTTTGACTTTTTGCATTCTTACACATCAATAAAGTGTAAAGCTTTTATTGGTTTGAGGGACATGCAATAAATTAAAAACAAAAAAGAATGTCTTTGATCAGACTGTGCCAAGATAAGTAACACTAAGCTTGTAACTTATATCAATTACAGTCGTTATCATATGCAATAACTGCTAAAAATTTCGTAAATCTAGCATAATTATTCAAGGACATATGTAAATTTTTATTTAAAAAAAGACTAATTTTTGACTTACGCTTTATTACTATAACTGCAGAAATAGTCAATAAAATTAAGCACACTGTTTAGAGTAATTTTTAACTAATAATAAAAATATCACTATAAAATTTTAAAAAAATTGGTTAAAAAGGAAAAGATATTAGCAATTAAAGATATTCGTTTATAACGCGCATGTGCGAAATTTTTTTCCCCACAAATGAAAAAAGTCCGATTTGAATATCTTAATGCAAAAAGTTTCTAGCAATTTTTAAGCTGTTTTTGTACTTTTTCATTGAAAGCTCTAAATTATAAGGGGTTGTCCACAAATATTTTGTATCACATAACGAAATTTAATGACAAATGATTATACCCTAAAATAGAACTACAAAATTGAATTATGTTGGGAAAAAAGCATGCGAAATAAAACAAAATTTAATAGGGGATGATGGTCCTGACGATGTCCATTTTAATATATATTGCTTAATAGTAGAAAAAAAAAATGCGTGAAAGACCCCTTACCATTCAAAGTTTTCTTTCAAAATTTACAAAAACTGCTCAGAAAATTGGTAGAAACTTTTCAAATTTTAGGGGTATTCAATTTTGTTCATAAGTTACCAAATTCGATCCAGAACAAAAAAATTTTTTTTTTATGTTTTCCATGCATGCGCTGTATAAAAGGATGACTTTAAGTGCTCACATCTTGCACAATTTTTAAAGAATTTTTTCAAATTTTAAAATGATATGCTTGTTTTTAATTAAAAGTTACACAGAATTTTTTAATATTTTTATTGAATATTTCTGCACTTACAGTGAGAAAACGCAAAAAAAGCAGCTTTTTTTTAAAATAAAAATGTTCATATCTCCCTGAATATTTAAGCTAGGTTTAGAAAATTTTATTGCAGTTATTGCTCATGATAACCAAAGTAATTGATGCAAGTTACAAATTTATTGTCTTTTTTTTGGAGTAGGATGTTCAAAAACACTATTTTCTGTTCATGAATTCAGATTCCTCAAACCTTTAAGAGCTTTAAGCTTTATTAATATGTATGAAAATTCGCATGGCCTAAACACTTTCTTTCGCATGTCCTAAACAAACAGTTATAAAACATTTTTGTGAGTATTTTTTGAGAAATATTAAAAAATGAATTAGTACAGAATATATATATATAAATATAAATTTTTAATAAGTTTTTCGTCCTATCCTTTTTTTGTTTCTTTTAATTTTTAATGTTTTCTTGTTTTTATCGAGTTTTTATCTTATATATTATATATATCAGGGGTTTTATTTTTTTCAGCTTTCAGTTTTCAATTATTCGTTATTAATAGCTAATGACTGATCTTGCACAATTGTGCTGTTTCTCACCAATAAAACTATGGTATAAATAATGCAAACTAAAGAAGTTGCGATTTTGGTGATGATTCGGTCATTGATTTGCCCAAAGAATTTAAACGGCTTGAAAAGAAAAAAAATTGACAATAGCGTAAGGAAGAGAACACCTTTAAATAACAAAGAAAACACCTTGACTACTTTTGATCTAATGAACGGAATATCAAAAAAGAGTTTTAATAATTTGAACTCCTAACCATATCTATACTTATTAATAAGTGCAAAAGATGTTTTAAGTCACGAAATCAGACACAGAAACGTCCATTTTCTAAATAGACATAACCTTTGTTTAAACAGATTTAGATTATTTGCCCTGAAAAACATTAAAAAAAAAAAATATATATATATAGGGCAGCTACAACCTAGAAAATAGGGGTCCCATTACTAGNGTTAAATATATATATAGATAGATAGATAGATAGATAGATACAGAGAGAGAGAGTAAATGAATTTGATTCTACATTCATTAGCCTTCTTAAATCGCATGAATGAGATTGTTGAAACCGTGAAAAGAAAAACTACAAGAAGATAAAACAATAATTAAACTTCAAAAAATAATAATAATAACATTAAAACAAGAACAATAGAACATTAAAAGCAAAAGAAAATCAGTCTCTTAACGTGAACTGCATTATTTCTTTTGCCTCCCAATATCGATTGTAAAAGTTTTCTTTTTCCAAAGAAGGACACTTTGCTAAATGGTTTTTGTCCGTTTCGAAATTCTGTTTGCACAAAATGCACAAGGGACTAGTATAAATGTTAATGCGGTAGCTCCTTAACATTAATTTTTACTTTTTGTAAATTTCTCCATCTGTCTTTAACTCTTTGAGTGTACTTTTTATGAGTGAACTTTTTCATACAAAGTGAAATTTGTTTATCCAAAGATTTTTCGTTATAATTAATTATTATTTTTTATTATTTAATTTGCTATTGGTCGAATTAAATTTGTATATTTAGGTACACAAACTTTACGGCATTTTAATTTTCGGTAATTTGAAAAGGGAAAATTCAAAAATTGATTGGAATTGACCCGCTAGAACAAATAAAATTTTTTGAAATAGTGAAAAAAAATAAGTAACATCATGGGATCAATTTATTTTACCACTTTCTTTAACCGACTATTGTGGCCATATTTTCCAGATTGCGGCTACCCCTTGTATCTTAAGGGTCAAAAATCCAAATCCATTGAAAAAAAGGGATTGTTCATTAAGAGAAAATGCGTTTTTGTGTTTGATTTCTCCACTTAAAATATCGTATACTCAAATTATCGTGTACTCATCCTGTACTCAAATTAATCCTCCCAAGACCTGTGTGACGCCTCATCGTGGCGGGAGGGTCCCCCTGGTTGGAATGGGCGAACTACGTTAGGAGTGTATACTCCTGGTAGGGCTTCCCAAGGCGTGAAGGCCATTCCACTATGCTCAGCTAAGGCACACAGGCGAAGGAGCTAAGTCAGTCTTCTCCCTTCGGGTGCTCCGGTCTCTTAGATCAAAGGAAGCTGCTCCATCCCCTCTCCATGAGTTTTTATGCCATCTGCAGTCTATCATATAGTATCGTCTGTCGCGCTGGATAAAAAGAGAAGCGTTCGGTGTTTAGGAAGAGGGCCTCGTTCGATAAATTTGCGACAGTCTCCAGTCAAGCAACCTTTAAAAATCCTTTAATGCAACGTGAATGGACTTTGTACATCAGCGACTAAGCTTAAACTTGACCAGATTTTGGAGCTCGCTGAACTAAATAATGTTCAAATCATTGCTCTGCAAGAAACACAACTCCAAACAAAATATCAACTTAAAGTCAAAGGATACAGCGTTTTTCGCTTGGATAGAAAAATTGGTCAGGCTGGCGGAGGTCTGGCATTATTGGTTAGACACATTCACTATCAAGGCATTGCTATGCCACAACAAAATGACCCTGGACTTGAAGTACAGGGTATTGAGTTCTCCTGGAAGGGAAAGACAATCAGGCTGTTTAACTCCTACCATCCTCCCAACTCCTTGAATCTTCCGGACTGCATGTGCATGTTGCACTGGTCCGATGACAATACTTTACTTTTGGCGGTTTAAACGCCAAGCACCCTAACTGGGGCTGTTGTACCAGCATTCAAAGAAGCAACAATCTATTTAACCTTACAGATGACAGGGGCTTTATGATTCTAAATGACGGTTCTCCTACGCATTCATCCAACAGTTATGCTTCATGTGAAGCTCGTGATGTCTCCATCGTCACTCCTGACATCTATCCCCAATGCAAGTGGACAGTTATGAATAACATTGATAGTGATCATTATCCTATCCTCACTGAATTGGATTTAAAGCAGCAATTGGGCAAAGAACGAGGGAAATTCTGGAACTTCAAAAAAGCTGATTGGCAGAAGTTCGAAGAAATCACAGACATTGGCGTGGCTTCTGTCTCTGTCTCCAACGATGTCAACTACAGCTAGGCTAAATTCGCTACAGTAATATTTAAGGCAGCCAGGAATTCTATTCCCGGGGGAAATGTCAATAAATACAACCCAGTGTATTCACACAGCACTGACACTATGAAGATTCTTCTTGAGAAAAAGCTCATTTGGAGAGAAACTCCCAACCTGGCGACTCCGCTGCCAGGATCGAACTAAATAAAACAAATGCAATGATTAAGAGTGAGTACGCTACTTCTAAAAGGAAAAGATGGAACGAACTGTACTCTAATCTTGACTTCAGAACCAACGACTCTAAATTATGGAAACTTGTTAAAAGTCTTGATAAACAGCAACCCCAAACAGAGAGCTGCAGCACCATCCTGGCCCATGACGGTAGTATTTCTCAAAGTGATAAAGATGTAGCCGACATTCTGGGCTTGCATTACAAGAATATTAGTAAACTAACTTTTAGTGCCAACGAGAAAACCACCGAACGTAAGGCAAGAAACTTGGCGCATTGCTGCCGTAGTAGAAGCTGTGGTGTACCTCTTTTTTTCGCTTGTTTCTCTATGCACGAACTGAAACTAGCAATTAAAGACTCTAACCTTTCTAAATCTCCTGGCCCTGACGACATTCGTGGTCAGATGATCATGCACCTCGGAGGGAAGGACAGGAGGATGCTGCTAGAGATCATAAACCTTTCTTGGCGCATGGGTCGACTTTCTAGAAGCTGAAAAAAGGCTACCATCATTCCTATCAGAAAACCTGGAAAAATCACCAACTCACTTGAAAGCTATAGGCCGATTTCCCTAACCAGCTCGACATGCAAGGTAATGGAGAAAATGATCCTTACTAGAATAAATTTTTATCTTACATCCAACAATCTCCTACCAAGGGAACAGTATGCATATCGCAAAGGACACAGCACCACTGATCACGCACTATTCTTGTGTCAAAGGATCAAGGATGCTCCAAACGCCAAACCAACCAATCACTCAATTGCTGCATTCTTGGATCTTTCCAAGGCACTTGATAGAGTATGGAAAGTTGGTATAAAAGGTAGAGCTCTTTCCTGGATTGCCGATTTCCTGAGGGAAAGGCATTTTTGCGTGAAGTATGAAGAGGCTCTTTCGCTCTTTCAGAATTGGCCGAGGAGTCCCCCAAGGGTCTGTTCTAAGCCCTCTTCTGTTTACTTTATACATGGCTGGTAATGAAAACACCGTTGCTCAGGCTTATGAGTTTGGCATGTTTGCTGATGACATCGTGATCTGGTGTTCTAACTCTAACGTGGGTGTCATTGAGTCAGCCTTGAATGCTACACTGAAAAATGTGAGGAACTTTGCGATTGATCCCAAATTGACATTCAGCGTCTCAAAATCGAGCGCTAGTTTTTTCACTACTAACAAGCACCTCTACTCCTTTCGGCCGAATATCTTCTTTAACGAACAACTACTTTCTTATGCAAGACATCCAAAGTACTTGGGCTTCATTCTGGACCAAGAGATAACAAGTAACAAGCATATACAACACCTAGTAGACAAGGGCCGCAGGAGACTCAACGTACTGAAGTATATCTCTGGCAGAGACTGGGGAGCAGAGGCCAAGATTCTCAGAACAACGTGCCTGGCCCTTATAAGACCTATCCTTGAATATGGAATCCCAGTCTATTTTTGTGCCTGCTCTACCAACCTTCAAAAATTGGAAAGAGTGCAGCTGAGCGCTGCCTGTATTATTACAAGCTTGAGGAGCAGTTGCCCAAATGAAATCGTCCTATTTGAAGCAAATCTTCCAGCTCTGAGTCACGATAGGCACGCACACCTAGTGAAATACTTTAACAAGTTGAAAAGTGACAACAACCAAAATCGTACTTCTGAATATTTTTGCAGGTGAAAACAAATCAGCGTCTCAAAAGGCAAAACCCGTTTAGCCTAGCGGAAGATATGAAGATCATTAATAACTCTATCGAGCCTTCCTCTCCTCTCTTATGCCATGCATCTGTCCTGTCGAAGGTTTGCCCAAAGTATTCTTCCATACTGATCTGGGAACCTACACAAACAAAAACCTACAAGTACCTGATTATCTCAGATTGTTGGCTTTTAAAGCCATCAGCAACATCCCTAAACATGCCATGAAAATTTTTACTGATGGAAGCAAAAATGACCTTAGTCAGACCGGAAGCGGAATTTTTATCGAAAACCACTCCTTAAAACTTTCTAGACGTAATCCAGATAACTGCTCGGTTTTTAGGAGCAAACTCATCGCCATTGACGTCGGATTGGAAACCATCCTAAGTGACACTGGCTCTGAGGACATTTGGATACTTAGTGACAGTCGTAGTGCAATTCAGCACCTACAAAATTGCCATCAGGTCAGTGACCAAGTAGGTTTACAAATACTGGAGAAACTAAAACACATGTCTCAAAAACGAGACACTCAAATTCAGTGGATACCTTCTCACGTAAATGTGTCAGGTAATGAAATTGCTGACTTGTTGGCCAAAAGGGGCTCCATAGAGACTTTGACTAGTCTCGACTCCTTCACTTTCCAAGAAATTTCTTCTGTGTGGAACAGAAACTGCAAGTAAATATGGCTAACTCCGCCTGCTCACCACTGGTATTGAAGAAAGCGCCCCGGCTCCATTCTTGAGCTCCAGGGGGATCGGCCAGATATGACAGCAGTTTCAAGACTAAATAGTGGCCATCTTAAAGGAATGACTTTTAGCTCCGTCTGCAAAATTTTTCCAACCTGCATTAAGTGTCATTCAGAGCCAGCCTCTCTGGAGCATATCCTGGACTGCCTGGGTCTGGGTTCGGAAGACCTAAAAACATCTCCACTTCTTGTTATTGACTTTGCTAGAATACATGGACTCATGGACCAGATCTAGCTGTTGCTAGGTCATGAAGGATTAGTAACAAAAACAACTCAAATTAGTTAGCATATTTAAGGTTTATATCTAGAACCATTAATATAGCATTTTAGTGCATGAAAATGTGATCATTAGATAAAAAGTCATTCGGGATAATTACAAGAGATCATTTTTTCATTTTAATACTGGTAAATTACCGAAGTAAGTATTATTGAAAAATGTGAAGTGAGTGTACATGGAGCTTCGTGGGCACTATGGGAAAATTGAGAACGTTGCAATCGAAAAAGTGGTGGCAGAAATTATTATTATTTTAAACTTTTGAATCCTATGAATGGGAAGTTTGTAACTTTTAATTTATTTTATGAGGGCAAAATGTTTCAAAGCAAAACAGTAATAAATATGATAAAAAATATAAACATAAGAAAATGAAATTTAAAAAAAAGAAGCTGGTTTTCACTTTGGTTAGGTTAGTTTTGGTTTAAAAACATCAAAAACGAATTTGATTCCATGGAAAATATACGTTAGAAAATGCTAATCGAAAAATTAGTAAAAAATATGAAACTTACTAATTTCCATAAAGTTTAATACAAGTTACTAGGAGTTTGCTCTAAAAAAATTTCTTTTCTTTAAACTAAACAACACTTGAATTTTAACTTAAGTAAATGATTCGAATAAAAAAAGAATTGGTAAGTATATATTTAACTAAAATTCAGTTAATTGTTAGGGAGCAGTATGACTTGATCAATTTGCTGCTCCTCAGTAACTCGTTCTCCGGATCGACTTATAGTATGAAGATTTCTTTTTTCATTTCTTGTTTTTTTTTCTCTCTATGCAAAATAAAACTGAAATTCAGTGTAAAAAATAACTCCATAAATTATAATTATATATTTATAACTGTCTTTTCTATTTTTCAAATATTATTCATATTTGTTTATAAAAACTTAAGAACTAATTCAATACAACAGTGTTTCCCAAAGTGTGGTACGCGCACCCCCAGGGGTACGGGAACAGTTTAGCGGGGGTACGCGTTCGTATGCGAAATATCTTGCGACAAACGAAAATTGCAAGAAAAATTTATTTAAAAACAAAGCTAACCATAAAGTTTACGATTACGTTTTTTTCTATCGGCTATTTTTTGCAGAGTTAACAGTCAATAACTAAAATATGTTAATAAAAGTTTTAATAAAAACGTATTTTTAAAAAATATAATTTTATTAATAAATATGCTAATAAAAACATATTTTTAAAAGAATACCTTCATTTTTTTATTAGTGGTACACAGCGCTACGAAAAATTTAGAAAGGGTACACAAAAGTCATAAGTTTGAGAAACACTGCAATACAACATTAAATAAATAGTATATAAGTATTTGACATTAGTCGGTTGTTTACAAATGATTTTTTTTTTTTTACCATTTTTTTTGGCAAATTGTAAAAAGATCAGAAATCAACTTTTGCATCACAGTATGCAGCAGTAAATTCTATTATATGATTAATTTAAAATTCTCTAAAAGTTGAGAAAAATTATTTCTGAAAAAATAAGTCACGAGAAACGGTCACAGATATCAACTTTTTTAAAACGAAAATTTCTTGCAGTGTAATATAACATGGTGTTACGTAATGCCTTTGGAATTCTTATCGCAAATGAAGTAAAAAAAACATAAACATAGAAAGTCGCAACTTAATATTAAAGCTAAAAAGATGAATGAAAAGAATCTATCGAAATCTAGCAAATCACCCTTTAGGACAATCAATAACTCTCCCTCACTTCAAAGAAATGCTCTGCGAAGTTTTTAATTGACACATTTTTTTTTAAATTTTAAAAAAAAAAAGTAATTTTACAGGTATTTTTAACTTACTTTAGATTTTAAATTATATTGTTGCACTTTTAATATAACAATTTTGGAAACAAAAAAAATTTTGGAAAAAATTTTGAGGGAAAAAATTTTGTTAGGGAGTGTTAGTGATCTAGAGTAAAGATTAGATTTGGGTAAATATTAGATTTGGGGAAAAAAGAAGCTGGGAAAAAATTTTGTTAGGGAGTGTTAGTGATCTAGAGTAATGACCATAAAAGGTAACACAAAGGATTCGTGAAACATATTCTACTCAAAATTATATAAAATAAATTAAAACTGATTTTTAAAAGTAATTAGCTACATCTGTTAATTAAAATTAATTTTGAAATGAAATTAAATTTCTTCAGTAGAAGTCAGAGCAAAAAAAAAAAAAAAAAAAAAAAAAAAAAAAAAAAAAAAAAAAAAAAAAAAATATGTTGCTAATTCCATATGCTAGCATGAGAGGGGGTTATGATTGGCTTATTTTTGCTGATAAGGGGGAGTCCAAAAACCATGCTTAAGTAAAAGTTCGACGAAAAAAGTGCCAATAAAATTTACATCCAACTAAAATTTCCTTCAATTGAATTTCAAGTACCCTAATATTTATTTGTAATGGAACTATGGCACATCTTCCAACGAGGAGTCAAATATTTCGATGTTATTTGAACAACAAAATTTTTGGTGCTATTTTAAAGCAATAGTTTTTTTTTTTATCCAGAATTTAATTTATGTCTTTTCCTTCATAGTTTCTTAAATTACTTTTGAATCATTATTCAATGATTTTAAATAGGAAAATCCGCTGTTTCCTCCGAGTAAAATGATAAGTTTTTCCTTTGTTTTCGCTTGAAAATTTGCCAAAGCTCTGAATTAAAAATGCTATTGTTTGCTTTTCTACTATTGCTGTTGTTTCCATAAAATTATCAATTCTATGTGTTCTGTTTTGTGTGTTTTGTTTCAAAAAGCACTATGTTTTGAATGCCTTCTTTCAGAATAAAAGCAGCATATTAATGAAATTTAGGAAAAAAGTTTGTGAAATTTGAAAAAAAAGAAAGAAAAAAAAACCATTGGATAATGAAGGTCATAAAGAGGTTCATATTTTTAGAGTTCTATTGAATATATCCCAGTTAAGACATTTAACTAAAATAATAGTATATAGACTCTTGTAGACTTTTCTTGTTGATAAAAATTCCAATTTAAAGCAAAATTGTAAAAACTATTGTTGACAAGTCAGTCATTATGCAACAATAATGTTTCGTTGATGTTTATCACAAATTGCACAAATAGCAAAGAAAAGAAAATTAAATATCTTTAATTTCTTATTATCCTTTTTTCAAATATTTTGCAACAAAAAAGTCTCAAGTAATTCAATTTTCTATCCTTCATTTCATGATGATCAAAAAAATAAAGAATAAAAAATATTTTTCTCCGCATTGGGACATCTGACTGCTTTCTCAGACTCTCAATCGATTGCATTTTATCCTGTTTTGAAAAACAATATTTGCAAGCATTTTTGGGAATATCAAATTTTTGGTGAAAGAATGATGGTGTTTTTAAACGGGATAAAAAATATCAGTTTACAGTTCTTTTTTATATTTTAACATAAAATTGAATTAAAATTATTAACTGTATATTTGTTCATTTAACCTTTAACTTTCAGAAAAAAGATAATTCACTTTAAATCTTTCTTGATAAAAGATTTTCTTTAGATAGTTTGAAGATTTCACTTTTTCTTTAGAATGTCTGTAGACTTTTTGTAGGCCTTTAAAACGCTTTATTATTTTTTTTAAATGCTTGTGAAATCTTAACCTAATTGCCACTGTCATGTGTATTACTTTCAGAATTCATTTTGATAATTTTCTGTACAAAATAAAATTTGCAGCCGATTAAAACTTTTGACGTGATTTGTATATTTTCTATATTTTAATTTTTTCTATCTTCCGATATTTTAGACACTCTCGATTCCATTATTTCTATATTTTGATTTTTTTCATATTTGAAATACATGCAATAACATTTAGAGAAATTGATATAAAAATAAAATAGTTTCTTTAATAGCTGAATGAACCGCACTAAAATTTTTCTTTGCCTAAAAATGTTAATTACAACTTTACAAACGTTGCATAAAGTTTACTATACTACATGTTCAGTGCACGTTTCAAATTGCTCATGATAAAATGTTATTCTCATGAAAATGTGGGACTTTGATGTTGCTAATTACTATTTTAGGTTAAAGGTGCTTTGTTATAACCACTCTTTTTTAAATTTTTAGAATTCTTGTCAAAAATAAGAACAAAAATGTATCCACAATTCATTCATACTTAAGCGAGAATATTATAAGTACTCATAATTAAATGATCTAAATTCATATTTAAGCGGAATAAAAAGAAAAGCAGGTCGAAATTAAAAGTTTTGACTGACGCAGCACTGAAAACCATTTTCATTACCTGATTAAGCAAAAAAGTAATTCTAATAATCACTTGTTAACTTCTTTATTTTTTCCTACAATCTAAGAGATGCCTATAAGCATGAAGTATTCGCATACTTTCAATAAACTAAAAAAAATGACTATAAATAACTTATGAACCATATTTTTCATGATAAAATTACGTTTTTTTCCGGTATGTAAATTAATTAGTTCTTATTCAATGATATTAATGAACCAGTTTATTAACATCAAAATGATATACTTTCGCATTGCAGATTCAAAGTGCTTAAAATTCAAACCTACTGCTAACTGTTTTTCCGACAACAAACTGTATTACTCTAAACTTATCGAAGCTGGAAAAAAAACAAACAAGATGCGCTGATATATTTCATTTTTTTATATATATTTATATTGTTTTTGTTTTTCAGGTGGGTAGAAAAAAGTATGATCTCTAAGAGAGAGGTGCCTTGTCCACCTTACTGTTTAGCTGTTCATACATGGGGTCTTATAACCCATCTATCAAAGGGGCGATTGTTCAGTATCTGCCTTCTTGCCTTATTAACATCATTCTTTTTAGCTTTGCACATAGTATTTCTCGGATATCCCCGGACACCGCTCGTTTGTCTTGATTCCGCTAGATATATACCACAAGGTAAGTTTTTCATATTATTCTTAATAATTGCCTTTATTTTTTTATTACTTTTTCAAAACTGTACATTCAAAGTGTCACAAATTAATATTTGAGAGAGAAAAAATGCTATCAAAATCTATCAAACCAATGGAAAAGAAGAAAATACGAAAAATATCAAAACCAGTTTGATTGCTTGGAGGTGCTTTTAATTATCATCTTTCTCACTTTATGTTTCCAATGGCAATCACATTTTTAGTCCTGCCTTCCTCAATGGAGGTTCGCTAAATTTAAATATTGTTTTTATTTTCTTCTGACTTGATTAATATTTTGTAAAACCTAATACGTACATATATTGACATAATTTCTGACAAAATTATGAAAACTTGGCTTTTCCAATTATTTGAAACAAAATACGTTACGTTTTAGTATTTTCTCTTGAAAGTTTTAAAGCTTTTTCAAAAAATATTGTAAATGAATTGTTTCGTGCAATTTTAAAAAAAGCGTACTTTATATATTTTTTTAAATTCTAGCAAATGTGAAATTTTCAGTGCTTTGTGATATAATAGAATATAACTTGCACACTTTATATCACCTTCAATATGAAATATTCAATTCCGTTTCGTTACTTAAAGTTTTTCTGTAAATTCATTATTTCTGAAAATTCATTCATCCATTCATTTACTTTTAAAAATTATTTAAATGAAAGAAAAAAATTTAATGAAAGTTAAAATTTTATGTAGTTTTAGTTTCTTTCGTACAACTAGTATTATTTTGAAAAGTTATAATGACCACTAAGATAATGTCATTTAGTTTATGTAAAATTTTAATGTTTTCTATAGAAATAAAACAATATAATAGGCTGAGCCATCGTTTACTTGAAACTTAACCTTTCTTTACCTTACCATACATCCTTCATCTTTACCATCCTTAAACCTTTTACCTAAAATTAAAGCCAGTGAGGCTATATATTGAATTTCAAAAAAGTCAGATACTTAAAATTCTATTTATGAGGAACTATTCGACTGATTTGGCTCAAATTTTGTATTTTGCCTTATAAAATTGCATTCATTAAAATGATGCAAACAAATGTATTCCTTATAATTCAAATTTTTTGACCATTCTTAAATAAAATAATACAAAATAATAAAAACTTACTAAAAGTTATTTTTGCATGCAATTATCTTTGGATAAACGAATTTTATAATTATGTGAAAAAAGTTTTCAATTCGCTTAAAAAGTTCTCTAGATGCAGCGAAATATGTTAAAAGTAAAATTAACATTAAAGGGTTCATACTTTGAAGTGCTCTCCTGACCAAACTATTGGGACCATATTTCACAAACTACCTCCTATATTTTGTGGATCAAAAACCCGAATCCATTGAAAAAAAGGTACGTTTATTCAGAGAAAGTACGTTTTTGTGTCTGATTTCTTAATTTAAAATATCGTCTGCTCTTAATAATTAGCATATTTGAGACCACCCCCTTGAGCCCTTAAGATTGAGTCCTAGAACGTGGCAATATAATGATTATATCAGAAGTTGTTCAGGGTGGTCCATTTTTTGGGGGGCTTTGTGTATGGCAATTTTATTGACTTTTAGTTTAGTATTGCCTCAAATATTAAGTTTATTAATAGAACAGGTAGATAGGTTGTAAGAAGCTAAAATTTTGAGCCTCGATGGCTCAGAGGATAGAGCCTTCGCCTTCCAATGAGGTAAACCGGGGTTCGAACCCGGCGATAGCTGGTCGATACGAATTCCGCATTCGGCTTGCACCAACCACAGTGCTGACGTGAAATATCCTCAGTGGTAGACGAATCATGGGTAAGAGTCCCCTTGCCATCAGGCTAACAGTGGGAAATTCTCGTGGTCTTCCTATGCATGCAACGCAATGCGGGTTAGTTCCATCAGAAAATCCTCCACGAAGGCAAATTTCTCCCAATACTTGATCCAGGAGTTCCCTTGTCCTCTGGATTGGGTTCAAAATTACAAGGCTACGGAGTTGAACATTAGTAGTCGTAACCCATAAATTGAGTCGGCAGTTCAACGACGGTTATAAAAATGAAATAAAATAAAATAGGTAGATATCTGTATATATATATATCCTCTAGTTTTATATAGAAAATAAAGTATTTTTGATGTATCTATCATGAAAGTTTATGGTTATTTATGGTATAGATTTATTTTTGAGTTTTATAAATTTATTTTAAGGGACTCGGAAAGTGTCAAGATCCACTATTAATATCTTAATAATTTGACGCAGAATTTTTATTAAACATGTTTTTCATACCTTTTTCATTATTTCGTATTAAATTTGGTCAAAATAAGGGGAAAATATTATATTTAGCATTTTAATAATTTATAATTAAGCAATACAGCGCGAAATAGCAATGTTTTTTTTCTTCGTTAAGGGTCTCTTCCGAAACCAGCTCACTTCCAAGCAATAATTTTTCAAATTTGCCGTTATTTAGATCTAAGAAAAAAAATTATTCATAATTAAAATTTTTTTAATTTGCAAATTTAATTATTGATAAATTTTTGAATGTGAGTGAAAAAAAATGTCAATCTAACTTTTTTGAATTTTATATTTTAGTGCAAACGTAATTCCGATAATCTAAAACATTTTCTTAGTAAGTATTGGACTGTTTTCTATAATTAAAAAATATAAAAATATTTGTTTGCTTATAGTTAGAGCGTCAGAAAAAAATATCCAAAAAGGACATCAGTGTCAATCTGGGACTAAGGATTCAGGCCTACTTATTCAAGAAATAGTTGTAACCAAAATATTATTTTACAATATTCATATAAAATAACAAAATTAAATGCAACAGATGTCAATTGATTCCATTTACTATTCTTCTTTAAGTATACATGAATTTGAAAGCGGTCACCAGATCCTCATATTAGAATGTAGAATGGCATGTTAAATTGCCTTTCTTGTTGCCATTTTTAAGGAATGTTAAATAACACTAGAACTATTCCCAAGAAATGGTTTTCAAAAATATTACTTCATTAATTAAAAGAGCCAATTTTTCTGAATTAATTGCAACATTTTAAGAACCAGGTAAAAAGAATCCCCCCAAAATTTCTTGTCTATCCCTCCCTGTTTCTCTTTTATAACACGAGGGAAAACTAACGAATCATTTCGTCATTGATGAATTCTAACGATTTACAGAAATACGAGAGTTAAAAAAACTTTTACTATTTTCTTTCGAATGAAATACATTCATAAAAAATGTAACATTAATACACCTAGAATAGAGTTTAGCTCAATATTTATTCACGATTAAAAAGAACTAATTTTTTAGCAATTGTACTATTTGAAGGAAAGATACTAGGTAAAAATAATCCTCAAAAAATAAACTTGTATTACGTATTCTGTCCCCTCCCTGTAAAAGTGTTTCTCCTTTACAAAACGAACAAAGAGGGAAAAATTCGAATGATTTTGTTTTTTATGAAGATTTACGAAGTACGATCTATAGCGATAGGAATTTTAATAAAGTTAGCTATTTTCTTTAGATTAAAATACAATTACATATTTTAATATAACTTTTCTGCATATTCAGATTATTTTCTTTAACAAAAATAGTCAAATTGTACTTATACTCAAAATTAAAACTATTTAGAAATCTTACCTTAATAGTGTAGTTAAGAATGCTATAAATATTTTTTAAAGTTATTTTTTAAAGTTAAGTGATTTCTTTTGAAATAATGACAGTCTGGTAATCGGAAGACGTAACAAAAAAGAATTAACTACCCCTTTTAAATACTATCTTGATTAGTGTGTAGGTAAAGGTAAAGAAAATTTCTATTAATCTCCATTTCCAGTATTTACTTATATTCCATTTTTTAATACGTAAATTTTAAATTCAATTGAATTTTTTAGTATATTTATCTATGTATATGTTAGTGCACCTCGAATTAACAATGCAGAATTAAAAACTCGAAATTATAGGCAATTTTGTTTGATTTACATATAAATACTTATATGCATTATCATACTTTTTATACTAAACACCAGGCCGGCCAGGTGGCCGAGCGGTTAGCGTGACTGACTGCGAAGCCATAGGCTGTGGGGTCGAATCCCGCTCTGGGCATGGATGTTTCTCTCTCTCTCTTTGTGTCGTCCTTTGTTGTGTGTGTGTGTATGGTGTGTGAATGTGGCCCACCCTATAAACGGGTTTGTGGCAGTGTGGCGTGGGCAATGTTGCTCGCCTCCGTGACTTTGGTTCACAGGTGCCCACTGGGTAAAGCGAAATGAGCAACAATTCTGGCATAGTATAGGCAAAGATACAAATTCAGTGCCTGCCATTGAAAAAAAAAATACTAAGCACCAGTTACACTGAATTAAGTTTGCACCATTTGCGGAATTTTTTCAGCATTTAAAAAAATTAAAATACTTTATTAATTAAGTGCACAAAAGCTACTGTAATTTTATTCTATTTAGCCTAGATTTAAAATAAGACTATATTTATTTTACAATCAATAGTGACTTCAGTTTGCAATATTAATTTGAAGCATAAATAAAAAATATTTTAATGTTCAAAATTTAGAGACTTCATAATTTTCTTCGCTCTCTTCTTATACAAACAACATAAGCATTCGAATTCATTTGTAAGTCCCGTAAACCACGAGGTTTAATATAAATCTACCCAAAAGACGAAGAAATAAAATAAATAATAGATAAACGTAGGTTTTTTTTTTTGGCCCACCTATAAAATCATTAATTTATATTAATGAATGATTATAAAATAAATTATTTCGAAAACATCTTTTGAAAACTTGAACAATTATAAATTACTCTTGCTTATTTTACGTCTTTTTTTGGTAAATTAGTTTTAATAACTATACGAAATAGCTAGATTTTACAGTAAATCAAAATTTTTAGACATTTCGTTATACATTTCATATGCTACATATCGTTCCGATTTTATTACGGAAATTTGATAAACTTTAAGGGTAGAGTGATTTTTCGCTTCAGCCAGCTAAGTTTAGCATTTTATAGGCTGTTTTAATTAGAAAGATTCTGTTAGAAAAATGTTCATTATGTTCTTTCTAATAATCGCAAAAAATTTTAATTATAAAAAATTGTTAAATCTGAAAAAAAGCTTGAAATAACAGTGCAAATAAAGAAAAAAATGAAAAAAAGATGAGGTGCATGAAATCGGATCTAAACATTTATGAAGGAAAAAAATGTATTATTAATCAGAACCTACCTATGATCAACAATTGTTCCATTTTATGGTGGTTAAAAGAAATTTGTTTTATAGTTTAATTTGACACAAAAAAGTTGAATTTCCAAAATAAATAATTAAAAAGAATAATGATTTAATAAAAATCTTAATTTTGGATAGCTGTTTATTACACTCAAAACAGTTACTTTTTTCATTAAATATGAATAACCAAAAATGTTAAGCACCTATTACTAACTACTAAGTACTATTACAATGTAACATTTAATGACCCCGTTTTCTCTTCCCGCCTTATCAAATCAGTACGGCAACCCCTTTTTCTTCTCCTGTTTTATCCTTCCACCCCTCTATAGCGGGAGTGGCACATCATGGAATCTACCCCCACGTGATACGACCCAAACACGTGGGACAAACTAGATCACTCCATCTTAGATAATTAAAAGTAGCGTAGAAAATATAATAGTAGGTTGTGAAAATATATTTCGAACACATCGAATAATCATAAATTATTTGTTTTCATTTTGTATCTTTGTTAGACTAGTTTCAATAATTTAATGAAGTAGCTAGATTTTACAACTTATAGATTTTCTAATGTTCCATTATACGCTTCATATATAAATGCGTTTCATTCATATGCAAAACCTCCTCCAAAATCGATAACCGTCTTTAGTTTGTAAAAGCCACACCAGGAAGCGCTGAACGCGAAATTCACTTTCCTTGTCTGTCGTTCAATTTTATTCTTTTCTAGAAATCGGACTAATGAAATATTTTTAATTGACATGAAAACGTTGTTTTATTTTATTTATTGAGTGGCACTATGGGGATTGCATTAAATATTTTATTGATGGATTTTTCAACTTGTCAAAATCTTAGACGAAAAAGTTTACTGTAGTTAAGTTTGTTCCATTTAATAAATGTTTGTAAAATGTTTTTCACCACCTCAATATGGAAATAATTTAAGTATAAACAAACGTAACTACTATGTGGTAGTATTTTTACGCTATGAAGAAAGCAAACAAATTTTTGTGAAATTAGACATGCATAAGACTTACGTCACAACCACCAAAACGAAAAGAAAACAAACAAAAAAAATTCCACAAAAAGAGTAGAATTTACCAGTTACGGGTTAACTGACTAAGAATGTTCTAGGCAAAATTACCTTAATCTCATAAATGAAATGCATATTTATTTATATAAACTGAAGCAATGGGCTATTTTTATATAAAAAAGTTATGTGAAGAAATATTTTTTTGTTTAAAATTAGATAACATCATAATCTAACGTTTCTTTGAATAATTTCAGAATATCAGAAAGATATAAGAAATCACAGTTTTCTCTACATTATAATGTAGACATCTCTTAATTACGTCACTTGTTCACCGTAATACTATTTTGCAGAAGTTTTGATACCATAAGTAATGCATTTTATGTTATTAATTAGTTTTTTATTAGTTATTGTTTTACTAAAAGGAAGAGTAAGCGGAAAAATTTAACAACATTAATAAACTATCTAATATTTAAGGCAATCTTATTAAATTCTTACTGAATAAGAATAAACGAATCAACCTAAGCCACAACTAATTAATATTTTACCAATATGTAAATTTTTATTCTAAAAACTATGCTTACATGTCTTCAAAAACCCGAATGATTGTAACAAAATGGACTTGACTAGTTTGAGAAGACCAAAACAAATTTATTCCATACCCTAGATTTTTTTTGTTACCTTATTGCTTTAGTTACTTAACTCTTATAATTCGAAGCGGTATATTACTAACAATATTAACTTTATATATTAAAATAACTAAAAGTACTGAAATAAATAACTAAATATATTAAAAAAACGTACATAAAATACATATAAAGTAACTGTTTCTATATCTATGTATCTAATATTCTGTATACAATATAGTAAATAACATCTTGAATATTCTCTCTTAATTAATAATCTACCCTTTAATATTTATTTGTCAGCTTTTTTTATAATTATGGCCAAATTTATGACGTAGAGCTTTAAATCCTTCAAATTCGAGCCATGAATTTCAATTTTTTAACTCTGCAGTTGAGCATTGTTATAATTTTGTTTCTTGTGGGTATTTTTCTTTCTTCATTTGTTTTTTTCACTTCTTTCCAAATACATATTCAATTCTGCAGTCATTTACGCGAATCTAGAGTTTTTTTTAAATACATTCTATTATTTTAAAATTTGCAAGCAGATGATCATTCTGGGAACTGGAGATAATTTCATCATTACCTTCTTGAATTTTCTGCGTCATACTTCTCATTGTTTAGAAAAGTAGTTTTAATTTGCATTTAAAATGTGAAAGAAAAGTACGGAATTTTTGTATTTGAATTTTTTATTAATGCGTAGTTTCATATTTTCTGCTAGTTCATTTAAAAATTTACGTTTAGCCACTACTTTAAAAATTCAAATTTTTAAAATTATTCACTCCATCTCTTCATCAACTCTTCCATTTTTTAAAAACTTTTTTTTCTCAGAAACAATACGCATTTCTCCAGCAGAATTTTAAGTTTATTAAAATAATTATCTTTAATTTTCTTTTTAATTAACATGAAAACTTTTTTTTTCTAGAAAATTTTAGAACATTCCATTTAAATATTTGTAAATAAAACCTAGATTTTTATACAAACAGTGAGCGAGTAAAAAAAAAAGGAAAAAAACATTCTCTTATAACTTTTGATTCAATGATCGGATTTTCTCGTATAATAGAAGCCTCGGAGCCTCCGTGGAAAACAAAGTGGGGCCCTTTCAATCCCCGGTACTTTGATGCTTTTAATATGTAATGACCCATCTTTTTAACTAGAAAGTATTTAAAAATAGAATTTTTTTCGCATATTGATATTTTTTGAATAAATTTGTTTTAAGCAAATTTAAAATAATGAAAATATAATGGAAAAGGAAGACTGAAATAATAGACCCACTTTAAATTAATGCAAAGTAGTTTTTGCTGTAAGAATTTTTATAAAAATTACGATAGGAAAACATAATATACCACGGAATTAATGAAGATTTATTAAATTATAATTAAAAATTATAATTTACTAAATAATCAATTATAATTTAAAGCATTCAGAAAAATGTAAATTTTGTAAAAAATTAAATTGAATTTTATTGATATCAAAACAATTTAACTTTTGTACTTTGTGGGCCCCTTATACTCGGGAACATTGGAGCACTGCCCCTCTTTCCTCTTTGGTAGCTACCCCCCTGAAAGTACTCGATCTTAATGGTTCGAGGAAGTAATCTAAAATATGCTAATTAGTTAGAGCAGATGATACTTTAAGTTATAAAATCAGATGCAAAAATGCACTTTTTCTGAATAAACATGTCTTTTATTTGATGGATTATGATTTCTAACCCCCGAAGTATGGGAGGAGGTAACTACAATCTAGGAAATATAGTAATAGTTTGATCAGGAGAGTTGTAGGTCAGGATATAAAAGTTTGGACCCTTTTATGTTAATTTTACTTTTTGCGCATTTTGCCGTATCTAGAGAATTGTTTAATTGAATTGAAACATGTTTGCATAAAATTATAAAATTCGCTCAACCAAAGATATTTTTATGCTCAAAAAAATAATAATTATTTATTATTTTTTACTATTTTATTTAATAATAGATAAAAAAAATTTAATTGTAAGGTACACAAATTTTTACATGATTTTAAAGAATGTAATTTTATATGGAAAAATATAAAATTTGAACATAATTGGTCGAACTGTTTCTGAGAAATATCTGACTTCTTTAGAGCTTGATATGTCTTGCAGTTACAACCAAAGACGCAAAACATCTTGTACAAAATTTTAAAGCAAAACAATTTTCTGGAGGAAAACAAAATTTTAAGTTATTTCGTATCCAAAAATGATTTTTTATTATAGCATGAAAATGCATAACGAGTTAAGGTGATTTTTCTGTACTTTTGTGGGACAGAATTACTTGATTGAAACCAGATTAAATCCTGGGAGTATTTCCATCATTATCAGATGTTTCAAAAATATTTCTTGGTATAAATATATGGTATAAAATCTTCGAACATGAATATTGTATCATTTTTAAATGCATCCCTAGATGTAAAAAATAATAAGAAATTCACAAAGCGTTCGACATTTTTCTCCTGCAGCTTAAACTGTCCTGATTTTCTGTTTTATAGACAAAATTTATTTCTATTAAAAAAATGTTCTTCTATTATTATTATTATAAACAATATATGGTCGTTTTTTGGAAAATAAGACTGCCTTAGTTTTTCTGGAATACGTTTAAATGAATTCTATGGTGCAAAAGTACTTAAAAAATGCATAAAGATTTTGGCTGCTGGACATTTTTCCCAAGTCCTTTATGTTTGGGAAAATATAAATTTTTTATAAAAATTATTAAAATATTCTATTCTTATTCATGGAAATGAATAGAATGAATATATATATATATATATATATATATGAAAGGGTAGCAGTCATGGTGAGTGATGTTAGGCCACGCAGATAGCAGTTGGAAGGCAAAACATATTTTATTAGCTTCACATAGTATATTTAAGACATTTTCTAGCAAAGGCGGAGCTCCANCTCTGTATATATATATATATATATATATATATAGTATTAACTATAATTATGTATACATAAATAAAATGAAATAGTCTTATTTCAGATGTTGAGAGTATGAGAGTTCGATTCCCAAGGACAAAACGACGCCTTCCACAATGCATCATCATAGGCGTCAGGAAATGTGGTACTCGAGCGCTTTTGGAATTCCTCAATTTGCATCCATCCATCCAGAAAGCATCGGACGAGGTAATGTTTGTTCAATCAATTGATGAAAATCACATTATTTGTTTTCTGTAAAAAAAAATGTAGTGTTCCTTATAACAATATTGGCTTTCTATTTTTTTCTTTTTTTTTATTATTTTATTGCAAAAGGAATCCGTTTTTGACAAGACTGGCAAAATGCAATTTCATTGCGTTTTCTTTCATGCGCACAAAGACGATTCTAGGATGCATTTACTTTGATGTCTACCGATTTGGATTGGATATTACTAAACTCGTGCAATTGAAACTGTTCTTCCTTTACGTATATCGAATGCTCATGAACGGCAACATATCAAATGTACTATCCCAACATTACCCGCAGCTTTTGAATGTCATCCTTAATAATACAAATAAAAAAAAATACTTTAAAGGTCACAAATTCATATTTAAGCTGTAAAAATTTAAAAAAAAAAATTATATTGATAACCTTATAAAACATTACCGAAGACGACAAGATAAAAATATACAAAAATCAGTTTGTTTGCCTGAGAGAACTGAAAAGACAAATTATATTTTCTGTGTGTGCATGTGCGAAAATCTATACTACATTCAAATTTCATCAGGCAGGCAATGATGACGTCTTTGTTTTCTACTATTTAGAAGGCGAATGTCAATGTAAAATTATCAATTATCAGCAAAAGTGAGAGTTTTCGAAAGAGTGAAAACTGGAACACAATATTTTAGTGCAAAAAAAAAAAGAAAAGAAATTAAAAAACTTTAATAAAAAAATACCACTTATGGAAAGCGTAATATAAATATTTTTTTTAATCTCAATCCATGACTTGAATAATGCAAATTTTCGAATTAAATAAATTTAGGTTTCACTTCTAAATTAAGCTGAAGAAAAAAATTTTCAAAAGAATAAATAAATTTGACACTAAATATTATTTACTTGGAAATAGCGTAATATTACTTCAATGAGGTGAAGCGGGGTAAAAACAGGATGGTACAATCTTCCGGTAATTTTTAGTGAGGCGAATCATATGCTGTATTTATTATGTCCATTAGTGAGATGGAAAGCAGTTTTAGAATTTTAATGAATATTAAATTAATTTTCATTTTATCATTTAATAATCTTAACTTCTTTTCATCAAAAAGAAGTCTTTATATAATTTGAACGCAATGCCAAAAAGTTGAAGGATAACTTACAATGTGCTAAATTTGAAAGCAATTGTACTAGATTAAGACCATTTATCAATTCAAAGATTAGCGATCTATGCCTCCCCCCCTATATTTCGATTTTTATGCTGAGATTATTATATTTTATTTTATCCTGCTTCCAGGAATAGCGATTGATAAAGAGGGAAACAATACTTAAGTATGGCATTTTTTGAATTGTTTGAAGTAGCTCAATGTATAAGTTTTATTATTAATTAATTTATAAATCTGTTAGCTACTGTGTATTGTAATTGACTTGTGTATTGTATTCGGGTAAAAAAAAAGTATTAACACACCATCAATACCATTTTTTCAATAGGGTTACATAAAATTTTATTTAAAATTTTACTTCAGATTCATGCCGTCCGATGATTAGTTAAAAAAGCTCATTTTAGCAACGGAAAAAGAGGAAGTATGTTTTATATGAGATTTATTCTTCCTGCTGAGATCAAACTCATTTTTTTTATTTTCAAATAATACATTAGTTTCTGTTGTGGAAAACAATACTTATATTTTGGATTCGATATATAGGGTGTCCCGTAATGACCACCTGTAATACATATTTTCTGAATTTTTGTCGAATATGAAGTCAAAAATATATATATAGGGGTTGCGCATTAATATTAAAAAAAGGGGGAAAAAACACGCTATCGAACTCTGCCGAATCAATATTAAGGAAAACGGAAGGAAAAATTCCAAAAACGGTTTGAATGAAACTATGAAAGTTGGAAGTATTTCCGATAATAGCTTTTCATCTCTCATATACCGTTTTGACCTTTTTGTTTCTAAGAATCACTTTTTAGCCCCTATCTGTTTCCAAGGTAATTCAAACAGGTTTTTATGTTTTTAATCCCACCTTTCTCAGCAGTAATTTCAGAAGCGTTTTTTTCCTTATTTCAATATTAACTTGCACCCGTTAATAGATAGATATATTTTTTATTTTTTAGCCGGCCAGGTGGCCGAGCGGTCAGCCTGCTTGACTGTAAAGCCAATGGCTGGGGGGTTTGAATTTCGTCCAGGGCATGGATGTTTTTCTGTGTGTTGTTCTCTATTGTGTGAATGTGTCCCACCCTATGAACTGGTATGTGTGGTAGTGTTTCGTGGTTAATGTTGCTTGCCTCCGTGACTTAGGTTCACAGGTGCCCACTGGTTAACGTTAATTGAGCAAAACTTCAGGCATCTTCCGAGATGAAGAAGGAAAGTTCAGTGCCTGCAGTTAGAAAAAAATAGATGTATCTTTTTGACTTCATTTTTAGCATGGATCATAAAATTTTTTTGATTGGGAAAGCCAAGAATATTTAAATTTTGTATAAGCAATTCTAAATTAAATAACCACTAAATATGAAATGATATAAGAAAATATCAATAAATTGAACGAGATGATCATTCATTATCCATTTTACTAGGTAAGATGCCAATTGTGACATCATTAGCACCAAAAGATTTTAGCAGCTGTGTTAAATTTTTATTCTTTACTATAGATCATTTGAATTTTAACAACAATATGCAAGCCATACCTATAAACAACTGATCAAAATTTGTGAAGTTAAGCTGGAGTATTGAATTTTGATTTTTTTAATAGTATTTAATGCTGTATTGTTAATGATTTTCAGGTGCATTTTTTCGACGAAGATGACAAATACAAGTTGGGTTTAGAGTGGTACCGTCGAAGGATGCCTTATTCTTTCCCAGATCAGATAACCATTGAAAAAAGTCCCGCTTACTTCATCACTGATTCAGCTCCAGCCAGAATTCGAGCTATGAATGAAAGTGTGAGATTGTTGCTGATAGTTCGTGACCCTGTAACAAGGTTAATATCCGATTATGCTCAACTGGCAGCTAACAAAGCTAAGAAGGACAAGGCACTGGCCTCCTTTGAAGATCTCGTTTTCATGCCCAATGGCCAAATCAACACAGCATACAAGGCGGTCCGCATCAGCATGTATTCCATCTTCTACGAAAAATGGCACAGGCTTTTTCCTCGTCGCCAGATCCATATCGTTGATGGAGACGATCTCATCCGAGATCCGTTTCCGGAGGTGCAGCGGATCGAAGAATTCCTCGGAATAGCGCACAGAATCTCGAAAGAGAATTTTTTTTACAACAAAACAAAAGGTTTTTATTGTGTTCGAAATGAAACGACTGAGAAATGCCTCAATGAAAGTAAAGGGAGAAGACATCCGATAATCTCAGATCAAGTCATTCATAAACTGCGTCAGTTTTACGCTCCTTATAATAAAATGTTCTTCAGAGCTGCTGGTCGAGATTTTGGTTGGCCAGAAGAATAATACATATCATGCTCTGTATCTCGCTATCATCACAACGACTTTTTTTAATCTCGACAAATTATTTTTTTATATCGGTGCAAATACCCAATGCTTCCCTATCAAAATATAATTCATGTCTTAGTATTTTACATTCTAATCATAATTAAGAAAAAGAGCTTTGTTTGAGGTATCTTGAGAAGGTCCTATGAACTACCAGTGCATATCTAAATCTTACCTTAGACTACAAATTTTGCAAAACCAATCAAAAGTTCGTTAACTTTTCGAGCGAATATATACATATCAATATATCTTAGACCATGGTGATATTACATGACGGAATTTAGAAAAATAATTATCTTATGCTTCCTTTACAAGCAAGAAAACTGTTCATATATTGAGAAATAAAGACTAATGTAAGCAGAATACTAAAGTCCGATTTATGTTTGAATGGATGTTTTCGAAGTATTTTCCTAATAGCATTGCATTAATTCGATATGCCTTCATATAAGTTTATTTAAAGACATTACTCAAAAATTTATACTTCAGAAAGGAAATTAAATAGTTTCATAAAAATAGGTGTTTCAGAAGGTGAATAAATCTCTTTTGGAGAAAATGTAACAATAGCATTGGTGTTTCAGATATCCAATTTTTGGAGGAGACGAAATTAAAATATTAAGTTAGAAAAGCTCTCACAATTTCTCTCACGGAAGTAAAATTCTCATTATTTGTTAAATATCAGCAAAATAATTATAATTTTTTAATTTCTGAGGGAGTGATTTGCTTAGTTGCGTTCAAACAAATGATGATCTATCAAACTTTATTTTATTTATCTGAAATAATTGGAGGGACTTTTTGAAATTTTTAATTATTGCGGGAAACATATAACCACCGTCTTTCCGTGTCAATGATGGCTATGATACAATAATTTTAAAAAATGATTCTGATACGTGAATTATACATTTTATCGCTATTATCATTTTTATACTAAGCTTCGCTACTAAATATTGTACTTAAAATTACTCGTGAGCAAATATTTTTTTACAAGATATATTTATCTGAAACTTTTGATTTTTTATCGTATTAAGTACAAAATAAAGATAAGATTTTACGTAAATGAGCTAATAAATCAATATGTTTTAAAGACGTACTTTTCAGATTTTATTTCCAAAATAACAAAAGAAATTTGCCTTAATCTTCCTGTTAAACATTTACAATCCCTGTTAAAATTCATAATTCACTGCTAATTAGCTTAGAATGAAGTTTTTATTCATTTTCATTAAACTAATTAAAGCTCAAAACTTAAATTTAACAAAGATTAAAAATCAGCAATTAAAATGTTTATTTGCATTACTAATTGCACATAAGTTTAATCTTGAAATTTAAAAATACAAAATAAAACGCATTACAAAAATTGTGTTCTGAAAAAGCAAAAGTGCTAAAACTAATGGATTAAAAAAATAATTTTAATTAAGCACCAATTTTTGTGACCTTTAGTTTCTTTTTATTGCCATTATGATTATTATTATTTGCAAGATCCTAATATTTTAAGGAAAGTGCTTACTAACATATTTAAGAGCTTAAATTTGATAGTTTTTTTTTCTCCCTTTTTTGTAGTTTTAAATGCAAAGTTATAAAAAGTAGCACACTTTTAAACAAATATTACAGCAAAAATAAATAAATAAATAAAAAATCGCAATTGAACAATTGTTCAAAACTCAAAATGTCAGTCTTTTATGATATTGCATTGTTTAATTTAAAACTTTTAAATGCTAAACCGAATTAAACTTAACAATCTTTCTCCTTTAAAATTCCATTTATGTTCTATTGATTCTATGAAATTCAGTATCCAACTAATTATTTCAAAATCAAAATTATTTGCTTTTAATAATTGAAAATTTAGAAAATAGACTTAATTAAGTTGTTCTAAAGTTTGCAATATTGAATTTCTTTCGATAACTACGGCAACAAAGTTTACAGAAAAACCTGAAGACAAAAATGATAAACCAGTTTTTAAACGATAATTCAAATAAAAAAAAATTATTTTATTCTACTTTTCCAGAAAGCATATTCAAGTTGAACATTAAAATTATTTCTTAAAAATCATGCTGAAAATTTTAAATATAAGTAATATTGAATCATTTTGGTTCATTTGCAAGCTTTATTATTTTGTTTTTATTAGGCTAATATAGAATAGGTTTTGTTTTTTTTAATTCTAAAGTATAAAGTAAAACATAAGCAAAGTAATTTGTGAATTGCTAATTTAGTATTTCATAGCAGAATATTTTGGTATAAACTCATAATATTGAGAGCTTATATTTTAAAATAAATTTATATAAAAAACTATTATTTTTTATTTCTTGTTTGGAGAAATAAATAAGTTTTTTAAAAGTGTGAATTGAAGGATACCTCAATCAATACATATCATTGGTAAAAAAACGTCGCAAGATTCTGCCTCACGTGAGATCTACAATATTTTCCAGCAGATTCACGGTTTTTTTCTTTTTATTTCAAAATTGGATGTTGAATAACAATTGAAAGATGACCTCAATAAATACATATCATTAGTAAAAACGTAATTTTTCTACGCAAGATTCTGCCTCACGTGTGATCCATGATATTCTCCCAGAGTATCGCAATTATTTTCTTTTTTTTCTAAATGGGATAATCAAATAATTTTGTGTTGAATTACAATTGAAACATACCTCATTAAATATATATCATTAGAAAAAGAACACAACTGATTTTCGCAAGATTCTTTCTTGCATAACTTCCACGATATTGTCCCGAAAGAGATACACGGTTTTTTTATTTTTATCTCCTAATTCAAGAAATTAGCAAGTTTTTCAGAATATAAATTAGATGAAACCTCAATCAATACATATCATTAGGAAAAAAGCACAATTATCCTCCACAAGATTCTATCTCACATGCGATCAACGATATTCTCCCGAAGATTCACGGTTTCTTTCTAATTGTTTCTAAATTGGATAATTAAATAATTTTTTTGTTAGATGACAATTGAAGGATACCTCAACAAATACATATCATTAGGAAAAGTACACAACTGCCTTTCGCAAGATTCTATCCTGCGTGACTTTCACGATATTTTCCCTCAAGAAGATACGCAGTTTCTTTATTTTTGTTTCTTAATTCAAGAAATAAAAAAGTACTTCAGAATATAAATTAAAAGAATCTTCAGCATATACATATCATTAGGAAAAGTGCACGATTATCCTGCGCAAGATTTTAACCCGCGTGTGATTCACAATATTCTCCAGTAAGAAATACAAGGTTTCGTTTTTTAATTGGAGAAGTAAAATAATTTTTTAAAATATAAATTGAAAGATACTTTAACAAATAAATATCATTAGGAAAAGAACACATCCTTGCGCACGATTCTGCTCCACGTGAGATCCACGATATTCTCCCTTTAGGGATACACGGTTTCTTCATTTTTTATCTCATAAGTCAAGAAGTAAACAAGTTTTTTAGAATATAAATTGAAAGAAACCTCGATAAATACATATCATTGGAAAAAGAACACAACTGCCTTTCTCAAGATTCTGTCCTGCGTGACTTCCACGATATTCACCCTCAAAAGATACACGGTAACTTTATTTCTTAATTCCAGAAGCAAATAAGTATTTTAGAATATAAATTAAAAGAATCCTGAGTATATACATATCGGTAGGAAAAGAACATAATTATCTATTGCAAGATTTTAACCCGCGTTAGATACACAATATTCTTCCGCTTATTATTTTTTAATTAAAGATGTAAAATAGTTTTTTAAAATATACATTGAAAGAAACCTTACCAAACACATATCATTAGGAAAAGGCCGCATCTTTCGCAAGATTCTGTCCCACGTAAGATCCGCAACATAAGCGGTTTCTTTCATTTCATTTCTTAATTGAAGAAGTAAATAATTTTTTGAATAAATAAAATATACCTCAATAAATACATATCCTTTTTCCATTGGTAGTTTAGAAAATTTGTGGAAATCAAGAAATTCTAAAAACGTGAAACTCATTGTGCAAACATACAAAAAAGCATTACGAGCTAATTCTGTGATCAGCCAATAATAACTTTTAGAGAAAGTTGCTGTCAACCCACAAGAAAAATGTTTATCGTGTATCATTCTGACGCAATCTTTCACTGAATCGTTTTATGGTCAGGTCCGAAAACTTACTTATTAGAGTTTAACAATGTAGTAAACAGAGAAAATCTGCATAAAAAACTTTCCCGAAGTCAAATCAAGTAACTTTTCTGAAATATATTAGAGTATAAATAGCAATATTTATTTGGTAGTTGATATTTAAAATGGCAAGATGAAATAGTCTTTTAATACATATCATTGTTCCTGATAAAACTGCCCTGACATTTCAACATGCCATTTATTATATCATGGAATTTAGTACAGTCAGTACAAACCTCCTCTAGGTGGAAATTTTTTTTTCTCTGAATAATGGTGGTAGCTTGATACTGAGTATTTGTCATATTTACATATCAAAATGTAATGTTAGATATATATTTACAAAGCATATTTTAAATGCAGCTGATATATTTATAAATTGTCTTTCTAACAATCAGATGTCGAAGAATAATAGATCAATATATTATTGTTCTAATTCCTTATTTACTTTTTTATTCTCAGCATCTTTATAGGAAAAAATATTTTTTTATTGTAATAATTAATAAAAATGCAATTAAGTCTTTCAAAATTAGTATCTAATCTACCGAAAGGTGCATAATAACAACGTTGAAAAAAATATATTATTCCTGAAATCAAGGAATCAGTGGAAATATAAATTGTTATATGAATCAAATATTTTCGCTAATTTAAAATATTTAGTATTAGTAAATATCATGAAGAAATTATATTTTGACAAAAAGAGTATATATATAATAATATTCCGTAAATGTTCTTAAAAATTTAATAACAAGCAAAATTTCTGCTGTAGAATAATGCTTTAGGGTTGTTTATCAACAAATGTCATTTTGTGTGTTCGGTATAACAATCAAGATTCGCAATAAAAACATTCGTAAAATATTGCTAACATCCGATGCAAAACAATTTGTGATATATTCTTAACATCAGCTACAAAAATATTTGTGAAGCATTGTTATAAATAAATATGAAATATGTATGTATGTATATATATATACACACACACACACAGTGAAACGTCCTGTTATGGACACTCCTGCAAAACAGATNATTTTATTATTATTATTATTATTATTATTATTATTATATTTATTCGGATTTTCTTAACTTTAAGATTTAGCTCATAAATGTTTGTTTTAACTCTGAAGCTATAAAAAAATATTAAAAGGGTAAACATAAACATTACAATGAATTAATAGTTGAATTAGTTGAAGAGAATGAATCAAAAACGTAGTACGTGGAGTAATTCTGTATGCTTGTGGACATCATAGTTTATCCTAAAACTTTGTCATAATTTATCACATCGAACTGATAGCCAGATTCCTTAAACATCTGATATAATTTAAATTAAATAAGTGAAAATTTGTTGTTTTCCAAAAAAATTACCCAACCTACATAGAAAAAAGTTCCCTAATTTGGACCACTAAAATATCAATAATGTTTATTATAGTGCATGAAAAATAATTCCACTTTAAAAGCAGCAATAGAAATGTTTTCACCATAATGAAACTTTTTTTTCTCCAAAAATACGCTTTAAAATATATTAAAGTAGTAGGATGAACCAGTGTTCAGTTAAGAATGTCTGAGATTGGATAACTAGTTTTTCAAATTAAACCACCAAGAAAGTCACAGTTTCAAATTATACCCTCCATTTCTTTAAAAAAAAATTATTTTTGAGATTATTTACTTTTTTCTGTAATTCTTATTCTTTTCAAAATAGAGTAAAATTTTACCTTTTAAAAATAATGAAATATTAGAGCTCTACGTTTTTTAGATTGAGAAGTAGGATAATTTATAAAACGTGTGTAACTTTTTCTTTAAAAATTTAAAACATCATGCAGATACGGAAAATATATTAAATATTTGGAAGCTCTGAAGTAAATTATGCAAAGATAAAATTACCTTTAAAATTCTAAGTATATGTTTAAATTTGTCTGTAATATAAATCTCAAGAGAGAACGAAATTGTATTGTTATAATTTTGAAAGAAAATTATTCTCCTTAATCTGTGATTAAATAATCTTACGTCAGTTTACTTAATTACATCAGTTTACTTAACGACCTTAATATGCGTAGAAAATTCTGCCCCTGAATGTACGTAACAATTTTTTTTATTTTTATCTTCATTCAAATTTTACAAAGCGAAGTTATGATACTTTATTGATCTTTTTTATTGATCGATAAAGTATCTAGCAATCATAAGTTCGTTTTGTGAAAATTAAATGAAGATGAACAATACAAGACCTAACAGTTTTTTCTTTCTTTTTTTTTAAACTAATGACGATGGACAATGGAGCACACAATAGTTAATAAGTTTTTTTTGTG